CTAAGTGCTGGGCCTACAAGGAGAGAGTTATTAATGGGGTGGGGAGAGAGGGAAGAAAAAGTATGTGAAGGAGAAAGAAGGGAGGCGTCAGCAGTAGCCTTTTTTCTCTTACCCGCCCTGCTGTATGCAGCAAGTAAGGCGACCCGGCTGATGGCACCACACGAGGGCCAATGGGTATGAGAGCATTGTTAGTTGTGAATGTCATGATTGTACGAGGGCTGGGATACTGCCAGGGCGCCCACACCTAGACAGGAGGACGATTAGGGTCCTCAACCAAAGCCTTTGGCTCAAAAGCCTAACCGCAAGGCAGCGGTGTTTGGCGGGAAATGCAAATGCATTACCATTTCTACGGAACAAGTCGCCACATGTTCCAACCCCCAACCTGGAGGGCCAGGAGACTGTGTTTGTCAGACCTCTGACCATTGACCAACCTGGTATGAGATACTCTGTGAGTGTCGCGGGGACACTCCCCAGTATAGCTCAATGGATCGCTGAGTTGCGCAAACCGTCACACCACGGTATGGTCCAGTCTCTTCGTGACGGTGAGATCTGGCTAAGAGTACTGACCAATCGAAAACGCACCCTTGAAGTCAAGGAATACCAAGATTGGTCGACGCGACCTCTGTCCGGTCAAATACCGAATGAGGAATCGACTACCATCCTTGAACAGAACTGTTGGAAGGTCACCAGGGCCAGAAGCACGATGACGCATGATTAGGAATATACACTCAGACACTTTTGAGGCTGGCGGAGGTTCCATGTACACAATCCACCTTCCTGTTAAAGGCCGGCAGTCTGGATTGAAAGTAGCCGGTGTTCAATTGGATGGTCGTTTGAAGTATTGTGCCCAGCAGTCCAAACGCTCTGCTTGCTGGCTATCGGAGAGCCATACTGGTCCCTGACAGTTTCGCTGGCAAGAGGTTTTCGAGGGCCAGTCAACGGGATCTGGTCGAGCAACCTGCAAACGCCCCTTAGCATTTTCTCCTCCAATTTCTCCGGCTTTTCAGGTCCACCAAGATTCGCAGTCTGCAAGGACACTCAGTTCACCCGCCATCGGATGAAGCTTTGGGTTGCGTTGTGGTTGTAGTCAACAGGAATCTGTCACCAGCCCTCCAGCAAAGCCACGGTGCCATCAGAGATCCGATGTTGGAATGGGGTTGGTCGGGTTGCACCGCAAACGTGATTTCCAGCTCCGAGTACTGTTTTGGATATCTGTTCCTAATGGTCCCTAATGTCTGACATAGGCGTTTGAGGAGCCGGCTTTAAAAGTTTCGTTTGATTTCTGGTTCCACCAGGTTCTCAGTGGCTAAGCGAGATGTGCGCGTTTTGTATAAACTTGAAAGGCAAAATGAAAAGCAGCAGCGTACAACTGCATAGCCGGGGTCCGCGTTGGTGTTCCAGAAGGAGAGGCAAGCAGTGGTCGACCCTCGCCACATTTAGCTGACGGCGTTCTGGTCTATTTGGAATTGGGACTGGTTCGTTCGTGGAAACCAAGTTGTCAAACTATTTCCTTTGTTCCGGAAATCGGTGCTGAGAAAGAATTGTCTGCGAGTGATACATCCGAAAGAAGGCGATTACCTTTGTCCAATCCAAGTCGACCAGCAGCACTTAGCCAACCTACCTGGACGTTCATGGTCCCAACAACATCAATATATGGCCTTTCATCCCGTTGTAAAAGAGCATCTAGAGCGTCACGGAAACTTTTTTTTGGCATATTCAGAGCTCCAGTCGGTTGTACCGTAAGTAGATTCAACAAACGATGGACCTCACTTTCTCGAGATTCTCTCACCGACGACGCCAACTACCAAAGGGTATCCTATTAAGCAGGGACGCTCCCACTCGGTCGCTTAGTGCAATATCGACCCCGGCGTATCCAGCTGCAGCGGCCTCTGCATCACCAGAGGCGCGCAACCGGAACCGAGAGGAAAGCGAGGGGGTAGTCAGTTCAGTTACGATACTCGTAACATGTAACCTTATTTCCGAGAGACAGCACACGCCAACGCAGAGGGAATCCAGCGTACGAGCAAGAGCCACTTGATGTCCTGATTGCTTCAGTGTGTGAACAATATCGCCAACTCTATAACTTCTGAAGATCCTTTGGGGCCCAACAGGACGATTTGCTGAACCCAACGAAAACCACATAAAGACAAGAGCGCAGGTCCAAAGATATTGTGTATTTCATCATGCCCAATAGAAAAGTGCCATACTTATCAGAGATATCAGCATGAGTGTTGAGATTCGTGCTTCACCGCTGTACAACCACAAGGTTGACCTAATTATATTGAAAAGAAGGGGGAAGCATCGGTCAAGGACGAGACTGGTACTAACCTATGGCAAGAATCCTGAGGTGCCTACGCCTTCAAACGTTCAAACAGATGATCTGGAAGAAAACTGACACCATGAACACCACTGACAACGATCAGCCGCCATTTCATGCAGTGTTCCCAGCCAAGTGCAAGAGGGGCTACAGAGACTCATCCTGGCAGGCAGACCACAACAAAAGCAAACTCTCCGCAATCTCTTCCACACCATTCTTTGGAGTTACATGTTGTCCAGGTCGCAGTTTGCACTATTATGAATGATGAACGGGGATCAACACTGGTCTTTGTAGACAGTGTTTCAGCATGCATAGCACACGGCCGAGCCACCAAAGTTGATAGTACCGGATTTTTTCTGCGAATGAAGTACACATCGCATAACCTAATATCCACACTACAATTACGTAGAATCCCGCATGGAAACCACCCAACCGCGCGTACTTAGCAGGTGCAACGGCCACGAAGCTTACCCCGCGCGCGATTGGCCAGAAGATTGGGCCGTTTGCCGAACACCATCAAGGTGGGATCTGTGTGGCGGCGATCAGTAGCCGCAGGCTGTTGACATACCCAAATTGAGTTCACCGAAACTATGAGGTTTTCGAAGTCGCTATTTTAATGGGGAGTTAGTCTAATCAATTTGCACCTTCCAGTGACATGCTGCACGTAGCATTTTGTTTTAGTGAGCGAAATGTCAAGGTCATTGACCACCGCCGATTTGCATTTTCTGCCGATTTGCGCGACATAAAACACGAAACCGCACTTTAGCATATTTTGACGTTCCTGAAGAATAAAATAACATCTTAACAGTATTTAACTAAATGCCACCCTATAGGATCAGTCGCAGGCGTTTGTTTGCTTTAGATGCCTCAGATTAACAAATGGGATATTTTTGTTCGGCGTACCTGCTCACAACAAATTTTCCTCATGGTTCTCATGTTCCATTAAGTGCAATAAAGTTAGGTAACAGCAAAAACTTACAGTGGCAGTGCGAGGGACATCTGTGGATGATACCATTTCCCAGATATGCATAACTAGCT